TGTGGGGGCCCGGGGACTCAGGGTGTGCAAGGTTATGGAGGTCCCACTGTTAGGGGCCCATGCTGGAGGGTAATTAGTCCGTCCTTGGGGCTCTGTGAGCGGGCAAAAAGAGGTGATTTCCCCCTGGTCTCTGCTGGAGGTGCAGAGTCCCACTGTTAGGGAGTGCTGCTGGAGGTCTCTAGTCCGTCCTTGGGGCTCTGTGAGCGGGCAGAGAGAGGTGATTTCCCCCTGGTCTCTGCTGGAGGTGCAGAGTCCCACTGTTAGGGAGTGCTGCTGGAGGTCTCTAGTCCGTCCTTGGGGGCTCTGTGAGCGGGCAGAGAGAGGTGATTTCCCCCTGGTCTCTGCTGGAGGTGCAGAGTCCCACTGTTAGGGAGTGCTGCTAGAGGTCTCTAGTCCGTCCTTGGGGGCTCTGTGAGCGGGCAGAGATAGGTGATTTTCCCGGTCTCCGCCCTGGAGGTGTGAAATAACCAGAGTCCCACTGTTAGGGACTTCTGCTGGAGGTCTCTAGTCCGTCCTTGGGGGCTCTGTGAGCGGGCAGAGATAGGTGATTATCCCGGTCTCCGCCCTGGATGTGTGAAATAACCAGAGTCCCACTGTTAGGGACTTCTGCTGGAGGTCTCCTGCATTTAAACAGATTCACCAGTTTATAACGTTACTTTAGCCCTGATCAGAGCCCTGTTTTCTGGGTAAGACAGCGAGGTGCTGTACCCTGAGTCTCTGGCTCTCTGAGACCCTGCTAAAAGCAGTGACTCTGCTGCCCGCATTTAAACAGATTCACCAGTTTCTAACAAGATTTTAGCCCTGATCAGAGCCCTGTTCTCAAATCGTATTTTCAGAATCTGACCCTCTGCCGTAACTCCGCTCCCCGAGGTCCTAGAGACTCGGCGATGGTACCATTAGATGCAGGATACGTGGAAATGGGGGGGTACAGAAAGGCCTGAACCGAACAGAGCTTGTTATCAAAAGTTATGGATTAGTAGCAAGATTTCACAATGTAGCTCTCCAGAGTGCTGAAGGTCATTAGTCCGACAGCCGGTGGCTGAAACCCGAGTAAATGTGTTTAACTTCCCACAGTAAATGGGACCCATGGGACCCTCCCCGAGACCCCCGATGCGTCCCCCTATTTTAGAAACCCGAGGACATATGAAAGACCAAGCTCAGTAAATGACAGTAAATGTGCATTGGCATATACAGCCGGTGGCTCTATATTATATGCGGAGAGGGATCTGGGGGGATCTGGAACGCTACTTTTGGGGATCTGGAACGCTACTTTTGGTAAGCAGCACGCTACTTTTGGTAAGCAGCACGCTACTTTTGGTAAGCAGCACAGTTACTTCGTGGACAAAAATCCCATCCGCTTATACAGGCATTGGACATTTATGGTAGGATCAGGGATGTGCCACCTTTTCAGGTGTAAGCAGCACAGTTACTTCGTGGACAAAAATCCCATCCGCTTATACAGGCATTGGACATTTATGGTAGGATCAGGGATGTGCCACCTTTTCAGGTGTACACAGAACTGGCAGAATGACTTCCTAACTATCCGGTGGCTGTATATTATATGCGGAGAGGGATCTGGAGAATACCTCCATGGCGCATAACTGCACTTTACAAGCCAGGGAAGGGGCCATAATCCTGGGTATACATTTTGTAAATAGTGCAATACCTCCAAGGCGCATAACTGCACTTTACAAGCCAGGGAAGATGCCTGAATCCTGGGGTAAACATTGTTTAATTGTTTAAGTGTTTTTAAATGTATGGAACAGTGTTTTGTCTCTTTCAAAACTCTCCCGTCATTGGCCGGATACATGGGGACGATTTTATATTCACTATGGCCGTTAATATTCCAGTGAGACGAAGTACGTCCGGTGACGGGAGTGATCCCATGTTAATTTTGTCCAAAAACCAGAGCATTCCCTTATCCCTCGGGCACTTAGCGATTAAACAGATCCTGTATCTTGCTTATTTCTCCTGACACTTTATCTTTAGTGACCTGTGTAGCATCCTATACATCACATGTAAGTGATTATTCTGATACCATCATGTTTCATCGGTTATAAACTGGCAGAGGTGGGGACTCGAGTCACATGACTTGACTCGAGTCAGACTCGAGTCGCATATTTTTTTACTTGAGACTTGCTTGACTAACATTGATAAAAGACTTGACTTGACTTTGACTTGGTATTCATGACTTGAGACTTGACTTAAGCTTGAGACAGATGACTTGAAAGGACTTGTCTGTTTAAAATTAAATATTTGCGTTTGTTTTTGTAGTGAGATATTACGTTTCGTTTTTTCGAAAAACGTGATTGGGTGATTATAGCGCCGTGCGCGCAAACCTGGCAACCCACTAGACGGCAGGAGTGTCAGTTAACATGGCAGCGGCTAGCGTTACTCCAAAAATAGTGAAGTTTGGATTCAAGGATTATGTTGTCGATGACGCTAATAAGAAGAGAACAGCGGTATGCAGGGTCTGCAGCATAAAGATCAGTGACACGACCACCACAACATCCAACTTCATTCGTCACTACAAAAAAACCCACAGAGAAAGGTGCGTGAATGTGTTGTGTTAGCTAGAAAGCTAACGTTAAGTTTAAGCGACTTGGTTTCAAATCGATTAAGCATTACAAAGAGAAGACAACACGGTAAATGGACACTAGAACCGCCAAGGGATTCATTTTGACTAACCCTGATACTGACGGGCTGTCAGGAGAGGGAGAGAGAGAGAGAGGAAAAGAGATGCCTCGTTTATTTCCCCTGTGTTATCAGAAGTTACTGTAAACTGTTGAATAATGTAGTTCATCTACTTTTAGTAGTTTGTTTAAATGTTTTAATTATGTTGTTTTTGTTTGTAGAAGTGCATCATTCTTTGATTTATTGTGAAATGAATCTGAACTTTTTGATCTGTTATGATGATAAACTGAAGCCATTTCAAAATTAACCCAATTAAGTGAGTTTTAAATCGTCCTACTTAGTTTATAAGGAAATTATGAAGAGGAACAAATTAAATGATTTGAAAATGATATCTATGTAGGTGCTGACGCTGTTGGCGGTTCTAGTGTTAACAGACATTTAAATTAAATATGTGTAATGGCAAATGCCATATATGATTTTCTTACCTGGAATTCTGCCTTTTTGAACAGACTTTTTGATTGAGTCCTAGCTATATTGTCTGCAGTTCTAGGGTTAATATGAATCTAATATGATTGTCATCGGTCTAAATTAGATTTCAAATGATTAACTGTGTATGTAATGAAGATCATAGTGTGGGTTAAATCCATTTTCATAACCACTGTCTTTTAACTGATTTAAATGCGGAAACTGGGCTTATTCATCAGAATTTCGTATGACTTGACTTGACTTGACCTGACCTGAGCAATGACTTGACTTGACTTGCTTGACTCTTACCACAGTGACTTGGGACTTGCTTGATACTTGTAGGTCAAGACTTGAGACTTGCTCATGACTTGCGCATGTAGGACTTACTCCCACCTCTGTAAACTGGCGAAGCTTTATTTATTGTGTCCCACCCCAAATATGTGGCTTTGAAAAAGATAATTGCATTGTATTTCAAAATGGCGTCCATCAACACAAGCACTATTTATAGAAAGAGAAATGGTTAAGTTTGTAATTACCAGTGTTGTGAGTTCAATATTTTAATTAATTATAGTAAGGGAACATCTTGGGAGTTAGTGTAGTGAGTTTCAGAGCAGTGTAATAATTATTTGACCTAAAACTAAATGTTTTTATGAATGTCCTCTGAGGAGGACATGGGGATTTGCTAACTTTTTATTTCCCCCATTTTACACGACACAAATGGAGGCCACTATGGGCCAAAACACGTAGGTTTCTGTAGGGTTCATGGCAGACGGATGCAGTTGCTCTCAGGAGGATATATAATAAAGGTGTGTTAACTGCTGAGCCTATTTACTGTGCATACGACACACCTGGCACAGTTTATTAATTTCACACAGGTTACGCAATCCATAGCGCGTGCATGTCGTCGTCCAATCCTTTTGTCAATCCTTCTTAACCGCCTTCGCTTCCGAATCAGCATTGCTATTGCATTTGACTGGTCGACAATCTGTATTTGTGTTTGCTTAAATAACTCAGACGAAGCTCATGTCTGAGGTCGGAAGGTAAACAGATGCCTCATATACAGCAGGTGGGCGTGGCAGTATACGCGGGAGGTTCTTCTTCTTCTCTCGGTTTTCTGGCGGATTGCAACTTTAAGGTGCATACCGCCACCTACTGTACTCGCCGTGAAGTTGTTTGCGGCCTGCCAGTAAACCCAAAGCAGAAGAAGAAGTGACGTCAGCGGCTTCATTTGCCTAATCCACCCCCAGGAACTCATTTCGGTGTGAACGCGATCTGCTTTAGTTCATCAGAACTAAAAGAGTTCTCATGAACTATTGTGGGAAAAGTACTTGGTGTGAACGCGCCTGTTACGTTCCCTACTGGGCTAGGGGAACCAGAGGGAAGTAACAACATATTAAATAACCGGGAGAGAGAAAAAAGGAGAGGAAACTGAGCTATAAAGCCACAAAGTGAGGTTTTAATGAATAACGAAAAAGGGCTCACCAGCCAACTTGCAAAGCAAACCAAAATAAACAATACACGAACAAACTGGAGCACATCTCCTAACACTTCACAAAAACACAGGCCTCACACAGAGACAGAGACATGCTGCACACATGCAGCCAGAGGAGAAGGAGAGAGCGACTGCAGCCTTCCTCAGGTCCTATATGGAGGCCCTGATTGGGGATTGGGAGCACCTGGGGAGAGGCTGCACCTGGGGAGAGGCTGCTCCTGGGGAGAGGCTGCACCTAGGGACAACCAGAGGGAGAGAGAGAGACACACACACACACACAAAACACTACGGCACGTAACACCCCCCCCCCCATAAAACACACGTTATACCGCTCACAAGCAGCCAACACCGGAGCAACACATGGAGCACACACATCACACGGAATACACACATCACTCACTGAACACAGATCCACATCGCTCTGAGCCAGGTCACACCGCTGTCTAACTGTGAGCGGGATTTCCTGCTCAAAGCCATCGAGGAGAAAAAGCGCCTGGATGGACGACAGACCTACGACTACAGAAAGATGAAGATCACGTTTGGGACTGACTATGGGTGCTGCTTTGTGGATCTCGGAAAAACCAGGGTCATGGCACAGGTGTCAGGTGAGCTGGTGGCTCCTAAAGAGAATCGACCAAACGAGGGAATCATGTTCTTCAACATCGAGCTGTCACCCATGGCCTCACCAGCATTTGAACAAGGCAGACAGTCAGAGTTGTCAGTGAAGCTGAACAGACAGCTGGAGAGATGCTTGAGGAACTCCAAGTGCATTGATACTGAGTCCCTGTGTGTGGTGTCTGGAGAAAAGGTGTGGCAGATCAGAGTGGACGTTCACATGTTGAATCACGACGGGAACCTGATGGACGCGGCCAGCATCGCTGCCATCACCGCTCTGTGCCACTTCAAGCGTCCTGACGTCGGCATCCAGGGAGATGAAGTCACTGTGTACAGTCCAGAAGAGAGGGACTCCATTCCTCTGAGTATCTACCACATGCCCATCAGCGTCAGCTTCTCCTTCTTCCAACAAGGAACCTACCTGCTGGTGGACCCCTGTGAACGGGAGGAGCGGGTGATGGACGGCCTGCTGATGATCGCCATGAACAAACACAGAGAAATCTGCTCCATCCAGTCTAGCGGGGGCATCATGCTGCTTAAAGAGCAGGTTATGAGATGCAGTAAAATAGCCAGCGTAAATGTGTCTGAAATCACAGAACTCATCAGCAAAGCCCTGGAGAACGGCAAGAGAGCAAGAAAAGCAGGCGGGAGGTGTGGTTTTGCGGAGTCAATGCCACAGGAGCGAATCACAGCTCTTAAAACGGACGAGACCTCGGTGGAGATGACTGATGCGTCAGAAAGAGCCAATGACATCGTCGAGAATACCGAGGTCCCGCCTCAAAACGGTGCCTTCCCCAGTGGTGCCTGCGCCAGGGGTGGGGCAGGTGGGGCAGGGCCTGCAGAACACCTGGGGACTGGAAGAGGAGGAGGATGGTGATGAAGAGGAGGAAGAACAAAAAATGGAAGAGGAACAGGATGAAAAGGAAGACAGTAGAGAAGGAGATGTGGTTGAGATATCTGACAGTGAAGAGGAGGAAGTGGTCATACTTCATCCAGAAACACAGGACAAATCTTCTAAAAATGCAGCATCCAGTTCCAACCAGAAGGGGGCAGAAACGTCAAAACAAAGACAGAAAAAATGAAAGCAAGAACTCCTTGAACTGTATATAAGGCTCAGACACTGCACCATGCCTTCATAAGGAAGGCCGAGGTCCTGGATAAGTAATTATAATGGCTGTGAATTGGAATCAAATAGATGCTACAGAAACACTTTGATTCGGTGATAGTTCAGTTCTTGTTTGTAGCCCTTTGAATGGATACAAAAAAACGTACTGCGCTTGTATAGAACATGTTTTACATTTTTTATAAACAATACAAATATGTAAAAGGTCTTTGATGATATTGAATTCAGAAAATTCTTCTCACCACAGTTTGATGTTAAGCAACGATTTAAATTTGCAAACTGATGGATTTTGTAAGAAAAAAGGAGAGGAAACTGAGCTATAAAGCCACAAAGTGAGGTTTTAATGGATACAAAAAGGGCTCACCAGCCAACTTGCAAAGCAAACCAAAATAAACAATACACGAACAAACTGGAGCACATCTCCTAACACTTCACAAAAACACAGGCCTCACACAGAGACAGAGACATGCTGCACACATGCAGTCAGAGGAGAAGGAGAGAGCGACTGCAGCCTTCCTCAGGTCCTATATGGAGGCCCTGATTGGGGATTGGGAGCACCTGGGGAGAGGCTGCACCTAGGGACAACCAGAGGGAGAGAGAGAGACACACACACACACACAAACACTACGGCACGTAACAGCGCCTATGGCTTATACTTGCATATCTAAACCGAATGCCTCTCCGTTGTCCTCAGTTTTAATTTCATTAAGCTGTGAGGACTGACGACCAACACACTTGTGTGTTTTGAAATGATTACGCCATTTAAATATTTTGTCACAAACTTTGCAGCTGTATGGTTTCTCTCCTGTGTGGACTCTCATGTGTACCTTTACACTTCCACTCTGTGAAAAAGCTTTCTTACACACAGAGCAGCCAAATGGTTTCTTTTCAGCACTACGTCGTGGATCACTGACAGATTCTTGTCTATTTTCAGTGATTGTGAGCCTGACGCAGGTTCTCTGGTCTCCTTCCAATCAGCACTGTCTTCTGTGTCAGGTTCAGAAGAGTCTTCAGTGTCAGGTTCAGAAGAGTCCCCAGTCTCGTCCTCAGTCTTTGGTTGTAAACTGCTCTCTGGATCTGAGTTCCTGGCTGGTTCTGGTCCTCGACAGTCATCTCCATCAGCTTCTGTTTCCATGTGTTCAGTTTGTCTTTGATGAGGCTGTGAGGAAAGAGGTTTCTCTTTATCATCTTCACTCTTCACAGGGTCAGGAGTGAAAGTGGACTTGGTGATATCAGCCTCCTCCAGCTCCTGAAGCTGCTCTCCCTCCTGACTTATCCTGAGTTCCTCCTGTTCCTGCTTCATGTGTGGGGGGGGCTCTGGGTCCTCCTGGTCAAGACTGGTGCTCCACTCCTGCTGGTCAGGGAGAACCTCTTCTTTAACCACCACCAGCAGCTGGACGTCTGCAGGAAACAGGAAGCACACAGTCAGAAAAAACTGTTAAGTGTTAGCATTTAAAAATCTAATCACCATTACAATGGGAGACTTTTTGCAGCCCTAATTAATGCCTTTGTTTTTATACTTTCATATTATCTTTCTGATGGGGCTTTCCAATGCGATTCCAGGGCCGGTTCGGAGCTAGAGCCTGAAAAGTACCGGTTTTTCCTGTTCACACCGCAGCGGAGCCGGCTCTAAGCTCCTAATCCCGGTGCTTTTCAAGCACCAAATAATTGTCGGCTTAGAAGCAAGAACCGCTTACTTCGGAGGCGGGGGCAGGGTCAACCTGAGCAATAACAGTGTATGGCGAGTACGGCAAATGAAAGTTCTAACAAGCAGTAGCGCTGACCAAAGTGACTAGAACCCAACCACACACTTATTAAAAAAAACACACTTTATAAAGTCAGGCAACACTAACCAGGCTTCGTGTGATTCTGTTTATTTGTACCCTACTTTGACCATCTGTTCGCGATCATTGATCATTGTGGAGAGCAGGCAGACGTTTTGTTTTGTATTATAGCAGGTATCGGATGGAATCAATACATGGGCTGCACAGGTTGTCATGACTCATGTCCGACTATCACAAGTAGATAGTCTTGAGAAGTAGTTATTTAATTTAATCTGGCTTCGTATGATTAAAAGCAACACGATCATCGACCCAACGCCGTTGGGGAGAAAATCAGTGACGTAAACGGTGACGTCATGACGCAGCAGCACCAGTCGGGTTCTCGGCGGTGTGAACAAAACGGGGGCTGAAAAAAAAACCGGTTCCGAACCAGAAAAGCTCTAGCACGGAGCTAGAACGGGAACTGCGTTGGTGTGAAAGGGGCATTTGTCCCACCTGTTGTGTATTTTTGTTGGCTCAATTCACCTTATGTAGCACAACCCTTTCCACTTCCAGTTAAAAATGAAAAAGGGGTTTTTCTTCTGGTTTAGCACTAGCTGCAATGTAAACAAATAATTGTATTTGGGATCATTCACAGATACACTACGCCTATTATTCCTATATTGAATAGTAATACTCGGTTACAAATTAAATTCTGCATTTAAACCTTATTTAAAGGACACCTATCATGCTATATTTAAATGATATATTGTAGGGCCATACCTATATAAGGTATATTTATACATTTCTGTTTTCAAAATACCAAACAGATCATGCATTTTAGACATGCCTCATTTCGCTCTATGTGCTGTTTGCTGTCTACGGGGCTGATTCTGTGAGCTGCAGCTGACCACGCCCCCCTGCAGGAGAGGGGAGCCGTGCTCTGATGAAGTCAGAAGAGGGGGAGAAAAATAGATCTCCGTCCTCCATGTTATTATAGGCCTATAGAGTCGTTATTCATTTGTTTTAAAGCTCAATAAATAACAAAGAAGACCTTTGACCGGCACTTTTCTAATTTTGTCCGGAAGATTTAAACTTTAACGGACATCTTGACCGGCGAAAGTAACTGAAACTGAAACTCTGCCGCACGGTCCCCTCGTTCCTTGGAAGAGGCGGAGAGGTGGGTGTTTGTCATCTGCTGGTGGACTAACCGGAGAGAATTACAGTGCTTGCCTCGACGGGGAGGGATTGCATTGAATTAAAGCAGCGGGAGCAAACGCTTGCCTCGGGGAGGGAGAAAGAAAGCCACAGCGGAGAATAAACAGAAGGGTAACCATGGTAACTATGGGCGGGAAGTCTTCGTCGCTGCTTTTGTGGCAGACTACAGCGCCACTTACAGGCCTGGCATATGTACTACAGCGTCTCCAGCGCTTTCGAGCGGCAATGGCCGGCCGTGGCCCAACCCCACATTCCCCTGATTGGTGGAGTTGGCCCAATAGCCGTAGCGCCACTTTACTGACGTCAGGAAAGTGTTCAAATCTGGATCAGTTTTTATCAGATCCGTTGCAGCCCCTTTTTTAGAGATTTGGGTATGGAGGAAAATAGAGAGGGTTGTGTTTTCTGATACTTGGTGAGTTCCCTGGAACACCGGGGACACATATTCATGTATAAAAGACGTACAAAAGTGCATTTTGCATGATAGGTCCCCTTTAAGTAAAAGTACGCAAGTATTAACAGAAAAATTAACAGCACCTTCTTATGTAAAAGTAATGATACTGCAATAAAATGTTCCCTGTCAGTGTTTGATTTATGACGTTTGATTATTTTGTATGTTGCATTTTACTGCTGGACATGTTTAAGGTTGTAAATGATGATAGAAGAGGGAACTCGCAATCTGAATTCACCCAAAATGTAATTTTTTATTATTTTCTTTTTAACATTTAGTTGATTTTCTTTCTCAAGATGAAAAAATAAATACATACATTTGACAATGAATAAATCATTTAAAAATACATTTATAACAGGGAACATTAAAAAAGAAGAGAGATAAATAGTGGAACAATTGCAAAAGATAACGTTTAATATTTTATGAGTTAAATATTTTCTACATTTATTTTTAATATTACTTTTGGGTCAATATAATTGCATGATCATTCACTTATTAGTTCATTGTAAAAAGGGTTAACAAAGGGTTTAAAGTGTTAATCAGAATCAGAATACCTTCATCAGTCCCAGAGAGGGGAAATGTACGTTGTTACAGCAGAAAAAGAGCCAGCTTAATGTTACATATGTTACATGAATTAGAAAGTATTGAAGTAAAAAAAAAAGTAATGATATAATAAAAAATATAATAAAAAGTTACACAATTTACAAAATACACATCCTGTAACAGTTCTTAGGATTTAGCAGCCAGGTATATATATTGCACAAATAGGCTGCGCGATTATGGCAAAAATCATAATCACGATTATTTTTGGTCAATATTGATATCACGATTATTAAATACGATTATTCATTGACTTTGAAAACATCCATTTATTGAACTTTAAAAAAAATTATAATAATAATTTGAACAGTATGTTTTTAACAGTTGATTACCCTGAACTTTAAGTATAATTCAACTGAAAAAACTATTAAAAAGATAAAATAAATTATACATTTAAATAAATAATATAAAAATAATAAATACCAATAAAGATCCACACATATTTTGGAGCGCACTTCCACGACCTACTAAACATATATAAATACCGTTTTCGACTGTCTTTCTGGTAGCTCTGTAGCCCCATCCACGAGTAACGTTACCACGTCAGGTATGTTATGTGTACACCTTAATCTTCCTCCAGAAGAACCGTTAGGCCTTTTGCAGCATACCTGTATGCCCCACCTGTGTTGCTCTGTACTACTGTATTTTTGCAGTAAATACTTGTTTTTTGTTTGTTTTTTACAGTTCTGTAAGTTCACATTATTTACAATTTGTTCAGTTCATTACCTTTTTACCAAATATTATATTTTGACCTTAATCGAAATATTCGGTTATTTTCAAAAGCTTTTTTAGTCTGATGCTTCGATTCATTTTAAACGGACCGTTCAACAAAAGGATACCCAAAATCTAAATATTGGATTGTTCTTTCTTAGCAAGATCCCATTTTCATTACAAATGTGGTCTGACCTTGACTTGAAGATGTAGTCCATGCTATCCTTCTGGACAACAATCTCTATTACTTTATTGTAAAAGTCCTCCCTATCTTCCTGTAGTTTCAAAAGTCTAGTTTGTTGTTTGCGTCTA